AATACTAAGTATGACAAGGACTAAGCAACGCAGCAAGGAAGTAAAATGCCTTTTTCTGATTGATTTCTCACAACAGTGGTTTTAACATTCTTCCATACCATGCCTATTTCTTCAAATTCAAATCCTTTCACAGCCCTTCTCTGCTTTTCCTGGAATTTTCTTTATCATTAGTCATATAGAAACAGAAACTAGAGCCTTCTAAAAGCAACCTGGAATTCTCTACATAACAGGATATGCACTTCGTTTATGGTATATTGAGACTCTATCTTTACAGGTATAAAAATCAGATTCCAAAGACATTTTCTACGCTAGAAGGACTTGTATCAGGCTAAGAATAACCCCACAGAACACCATGGGGTTTGTGTACATAGTTACTTCATTGCAATCCCAAACAGCTGAACTTACTTATTTAGTCTTTAGTTGCAGTTCCAGCATTTTTTATTAATTGAAATGGTCATAAGAAACCCATTTCTCATTCTGTAATATTTACACACACTGTTGTTCTCTTTTATTTAGGGAGATATTATAGTCTATTCCAATTTTAAACTGAAGTTCAAGAGTTAAAACTCTGAATTTGATTCCTCTATTTTTTGTTCAAAGCCCTTCATGAGGAAAAAAGGACCCATAACACTGCAGGCTTTTTGTGGTGTCTTATATAATCAATATATCACTGTCTTATAAGCTCCTTAGTAACTGTTACACATTAGAGGCATGTCCGGCTTATTTTCTTGACTTCTGATACTGCATCTTTCTCTAAATGTCTCACTGAAATTCCTATTAATGTTACTATTACTATATCTTAAGGTACCTTTAAAATTAGAATGAATGCAAACACTCAAAACCTAAGGCTTGGAGAAAACAGCTGCTAGCTTTTGTACAACCACAATGTTAAATTTTGGCTTATTCAGCTGAGAGATTTTTCAGGTTCCATGTGGTAGGTATACATCACTATCCTCATAGAATATCCTAGAAAACCTAATAAAGATTAAAACAATAACACTTCTGCGGAAATTAAATAGGACTCTAGAGATAAAACTTTAAACACGAATAGCCTTTTCATAGAGCTTTACAAGACCCTATAAGTACTTCTGAAGTGCATCACACTTGCTGTTAAATATTTCTCTTTCAAAGCAGGACATGGTTGTAGCTGAAAAGGTCTGAACAGTCAGCCGAGGACAGTGCTCAAGAATTCTATTACTAGCCATCTTCAGGTAGGAGAAAGAAGTGTTAGTAGATGCTAAGCTCTGCTGAAGAAGGCACATGTGCATATGCACACATCGATGGCCACATGCATGCAGAGAAAAGCATTCACTCTAAAATTTGCCCATAACAATGCCGCTATTAAAACCAGCCATTTGAGCAACACTGCTTTGAGTCTCTATTGTCTTCAGATCCCACAGCAAGCCTCTTCAAGAAAATAGCTGGATCAGGACAAAGCACTGGGTGTTCAGGCACTAATGAAAATAATATTTCCAAATTGTCCCCGTAGAGCCTTCAAAATGTGCAAGAGTCCACTGATGCATTCAATCACTTCCTTAACTTGCCAAGAAGTTAAGTCTATGAGGCTTTTGTGCTCCGCACAACATAACCTTGTTATTTTATGGTCATTAATTTCCACCAACCCAAGGGCTGTTTTTCTGTCACTGGGGGTCTTTTATTCCTTTATATCCAAATCTCAGTACACAAAGCTCACAGTTAGATGATGAGCAAGAAAGGTTTTGTTTTTTTTTTTTTATGTCAAGCTTTTCACTCCATCTTCTTCTAAACACACACAGCGATGCAGATTAAGCACTCTAAGTATCATTGCAATGTGCATTCGGAACCTAATGGTTTCAGTACATTCTAGCAGGTTTCTTAATGCTAATGATCAGTTCCTCACCAGCTGACTTTCAACTACTTGTAATTATAAAGATACGCACTAGGTGATATTTCACTGGTAACATCTCTCAGTAAACTCTACAACTACAGCAATTGCCCTGAGAAAAGCATTCAAATGATCTTGCACCTGCGGGTTTTCAAGGTATGTAAGCAGTGTATATCTACCAACAAAAACATTTTTAAGAGTTGCTGAAAAATTATTCAATTGGACTATATAGGTATGTCGCTCTGGGCAATACTACTACCAAGTGCTTCAGGTAAGATCTCTTTCTCCCTGAACAGTCACTAAGTTCTACATATGTACTGTCTCTGAAATGTAACCACCAACACATTTTGTCACTTGGTTTCTGATAAACACACAACACTAGGCATACAGTTATTGATTGAGAGACTGCATTCAGCTTGCCTGACTACTTTATGGAAAATAAATACATTGTTAATCAATTTTAGAAAGATGCATTATTTCATATATTACAATTTTCAGGCAACAAATCCCAAAGATATGAATGAATCTGACAGAAAAGTACACACGTTATTGTGAAATTAGTCTGTGAGAGACTATGCAGCCAACTGTTAAGACCTCTGTAATAGCATTTTATTCTGCTCGAAATGCATTGAAGGAGGTGGCCAAGAGAAGCGGGACACTATTGGAAGAAAGTTTTTAGAGGTTCCATATGCCAGCTGAACGGCTTTCTAATACAGAAAATTGAGACTCAATAACCTGCTAATAGAATTTTTTAATTACAGTGAAAAAATAATTTTGTATGCAAGAATGAAGATGCTCAACACAAAATATGTATAGTGTCAAACAAGTAGTACATTGCATTTATGAATCATTAATACTGCTGGTTTTTCTTTTTTCTTTTTTTTTAAATTCTCAACCTTTTTTTTTTTTTTTTTTTCAAGGAAAGTCTTATGTTTCGTAGGCATCTGAGAAGCAGGAAAACGGTCCTTTTGACAGTAATAAAGCAAAAGAAACAAACAAAAAGAAAGGAAAAGAACAACAACAAACTAGCAACATGATTTTAGAGTGATACAAGCTATCATAAAGATATGATGAGTTACCGGATAGCCATTTCGCCCTGGTAGACCCTGGTTGAATGAGATGAAATGGTATGACACACATTAACAACACAGCCATGACATATGACATCAAAAGCATGCAGCATACATTACTAACAAATTAAAATTTGTACGTCCATTATTTTTTGCTATGTGAAGATATTACAAGCCAACAAATATGAAATAGGTACTATGTGGTGAAAAAAATGATTTGGCAATAGAAGTCAGGTGTCTTAACTTAAATGTTTTAAACAAAAGGCTACCGACTACTTTTGATGGGCAGTGAAATTCCTTTTATTATGAAGAGTATTATCCATATAGATAGACTGAAGGGCAATATGTAGTTAGAAGAAAAAAATGTTGTAGAGCTTAGTCAGTAAGATAACAGATACGTAGGCTACCGCTAGAACATAGGTGCCAAAGACGAAATTTGAGAATGCTATAACTGACCATAAAAAATTTGAAAGCCCCAGCCTTTGACTGTTATCATACGTGACACAGCCATCATACAAACTGTACACATAAAATAAACAAAGCACTGCAATATCTTTTGAGAATACAGCATACACCTAAATTCTATGGAGTAGGATGCAGCATATGCAAATACTTGCTATTTTAAATGAAAAGGATTGCCACAGTATCCCAAGTTATTGAAAACAATAATTGAGCTTGCAACAGTTGCTCCCAGCCAGACTGTGTCTATCAAAAAGTGAATTAAGAAAAGATACCACTCTTTTTTAAATGGCTTTTAGAAAATTAAACCCTTACTGACTTTCAGCACGATGAAGTACTGTAAGGCAGTTTTGTATATGAGACTCAGGATTATAAATGAGACTTCTTAATAATGGGTCAGCCTTCTGAGCTATTTCAGGTTTGTATTAATACTACCACAATCTAGGCTTTTTTTTTTTTCTTAAGGGAACCTACACTAAAACAGAGTTGAAGTCGGAGACATTAATAATGAGGCATATTGTGAACTCTCGCTATTATTGCTACAGGAAAATCACTTGTATCATGATTTATGGTTGTTCTTTGTGTTTCATGGGAAGACTGCAAAAGAAATCGAGGAAGCCAATATTTCTTTCAAATAAACAGCACCATTACATATTAAGCCTGGCTTTTCATTGATGGCTTGTTAAATCAATCTGCCACTATGAACTGCTGAGCACATGGTCTTATCTTTCAAAGATAAGTAATCACTGCCCAGTACAGACAGCTTACAGTTCAGTCATTAACTCACATAGCAGAAATCCAACATTTTAGTTTACTATTTTCAAATCTGTAGGATAAAATAGACAGATAACTGATCCAGTAAAGAAAAATTAAAACTCTCCAAGCAGAATAAAAAAAAATACTGCTTTGGCGATCACACTTTGGTGATCATATGGATGGCATAACAAACATAAATGTTTGAAATACGTGTGTTTACTGCTCTTCAAGTTTGACTTTCGACTTACTCTGGGAACATACCACAAAACAAGTAACAAAAAGACTGAGAAACTTTTCTTGTAAACAAAATCAGCATGAGATTCAACCAAATACTAAACTGAACAGTCTTATTTTCTATTCATTTCACACAAGTACTTACTGGCTTTAGTAGCAATTACACCGCAATGATCTGGACAGCCCACATACTTCCAAAGAACAAGGAGTTTTGACCCCAAGGATTTGTGACAATGGCAGAACAAGCTACTACCCAGTAAAAGGCAAAGTCTAGACTTAAGATAGCATACTCACTTATTTTTATACTGTAGTAAAGTTTTTGTTACCAAGTCATAAGTAAAATGAATATAATGTACTTACATGGAATTGCGATCCAAACTGCTATCTGGAGTGCTGAATGTAAAGCTTTATAGTTTTAGATATAATTTTCTTAAGGAAATTTCTGGCTAAATTATTCAGCTCCAAAATAATTAGGGAGTGTTTATGCTGTATAAGTATAAACATCAAGATTCCCTCCTGTTGATACACGATCAGTTTATTGTAGTGGTAAAAAAACAGGATCTAACATCGATTTCTCCCTGATTCTGGAAGAACCAACAATGTATCACTGTACTTACAGGAGGTCCTGTGGGGAGGGAGGATGGGAAAAGAGGAGGGGAAAAAAAAGACAGACAAAAAAAGAATTTGTAAGCTTATGAAGTTATTAAAGACAGACACAAATGTACAAATCCAAACACAAGGTCTCAGGATCGTAAGCCAGCAATGCTGCTGATGCACCGCACACATTTTCACATTCAAGTTCTTTTGGTTTTGGCTATGCTTTGCAACTTGTAAATACAGCTAATGCTCAAATGCATGCTCTTACCTTACCAAAGAAGTCAATCCTTCAACTATCGTCATGCAATCTTATGAAAGTTGTTTCTCCATCCATTTCCATGCAATTTTATGTCAGGCCAAAAATACCAGCCATGGACTATGGTTTATTTTGCCAGACTCCACACAAAACAAATGTAACCACATCACCACTTTCAGTTAGCCACCCAGTTAGGCATCTCATCACAGCTTGGTTGTAAAATTGCACAAAGTACCCTTGGCATTTAACCTTGGCATCTAGTCAAGACATACATGCACCAGCATCCTCCAGTCTTCTAACTTGCCTACAAGGGGAGGTTTCAGTGGCCACCTGACAGTGCTGAACTTTCTTTTCATCACCTTCCTTTCTCAAGGCACACGTATAAAACATTCCTTGTTAAAATGTCACACTTCATGAAGTGATATTTGCACATTTTTTCAATTATTTAGACTCAAAGTCTTTTGTATAGCAGTTCTTGGAAACATTATCAAAGGGCTACAAATCAAATCTACTATTTCAGTCTTTTTAAGCTGAGCAGCTGCAGCTCTCAAACCAATGGCATTTCATTAGCTTTTATGCCTCTCTCTAATTTCTGAATAAAGTGAAGTGAAAAAGGAGTATAAAACCACAGCAGCTGTACTCTGAGATTGCTTTTAATATTGATAGCCTTTTGTTTTTAACAATGCCATTTTATTATCCTGTAACTAAAGTGATTTCTTTATACTGGTAAATATTCTTAAACAGCATTTTAAAGTGCAGGCCTGTTTTTAAATGGGAGAGATCAATTTCCTTTGTTAATAGTTTAATGTGTGTTTATTTGAGACATAAAATGAACAAACAAGCATACTGCAAAGTAATTGCCAGGAACATTTGTAAGAGTCTTTAACCACAGAATATATTTCTGTAGCATAGTATTTGTCTCTAAGTAAATATTAATCCAATCTCAAATGAAAACATCAAGGTGATTTACATTAACTTTTGGCAGGACTTGTTTTCAGTTTTCTGGTGCAGTAAAATACGGACAGAGGCAGATAAATGACAATATAAAGGGTTAAGAAGAGCTACTAATGAATTTATGGAGATCAAGTTGATTAGAATGTTTTCCTTACTAGCAGAACAGACGAGACAACCAAGAAAATTAAAAATGTTCATTTTCTCCTACATCAGTTCTAGAAAATTCACCTTCAATGAAGGCTCAGTCCTTCAAGGTAAACAGTAGACTCAATTCCCATGATTGTCAGCAGGAAGAGGTATACAGCATCCCACAGTGTTGTTTCAAAAGAAATTTCAAGCTTTACACCAACGTTCAGAACTCAACAGCAAGCTCCCCGATACAGGATAACAAACAACCCAATATTTTTCTTATTTCCATGACAACTAACTTGCTACTTGTTTCTAGTAAACAGCAATGTCTCTCTATCACACAGCAATGTACTCTATCACATTATTTCCCTGGATACTGACATCCTTAACTTACTCCCTTCCTTCTAAAACTTCGTCTCAATCCAGGAAGGTCGAATGCAACGCTGACCTACAGTATTCCAACTGCTGACTACCAGAGTTTCTCTGATCTGTGCTAACCTCAGAAGACACTGGAATGATTTGACAGTTACCAGTAACGTTGCCAATTGTACTATGCCAACCATTATGAAGTGTGACTACAAAGGACACTAGAGACTAGACAGCTATCCGGAGGGCCACCAGGTATATGCCAAGGGTCACAAATTTCTACAGAAGAAGTTTCAGAGCTCTCTTTCAGAGCACAAAAAGCAGTGGAAATAAAAATGAATGCATGCTGGTATGTAACTTCCCAAAAACACGCAGGCATCAAACAGCAATGCAATTTAGAAAGGTGAAAACTTACCAGTCTCTCCTCTTCTGCCCCGCTTACCTCTTTTCCCTGGAGGACCTAAAAAGAAGATGGTACACTTTAATAATTTATCTTGAAATCAAACATGTAGAATATCATTTGAGTTTGATGCTCAGGAACGGCTGTATAAGACAGTCAGAGAAAGATCAGAGACATAGCTGAGCAGGGCCAAAGATAAACAGAACAATTCAGGAAGCTGAAGATGGAATGAAGAGCTACACTACACAGTACACTCTCTGAGAAAAAAAGGCTGAGAGAAACCATAGAGGTCATCCAGCTCATCCCTCTTTTTCAAGGTACAAGTCAACTACTTTGAAAATATTGCTACAACTTCCACAGGCTCATTTCTCCTAGTATTTCACTGTTCCAATGACAAGAACATTATGTCCAACTTACTGTACAGATGCTCATCAATTCTTATGCTAGCCACCACAGACTTCAGACTAGACACAATTCTTTTCCATTCTATTAAGCACAAACCAAAAACCACACCTACAGTCTTTGTATTTTTATATTCCTTTGAATTGCTATACCTTTCCTTCAATCTTCTTAAGTCTAATTTATCACAAAGCATTAAATTGCTTTTAGTTATTCCCAACACAAAGCAAGGTTAGCATGTATTTATAAGAGCACATCCTCTTATAAAAACAACCTCCTCTTATCTGAAAATATTGATAGAAATAATGACAAAGAAACCCTTACTTGGCTCCCCACAGCCCAAATACTGACTACAACTTGTCTAGGTTGCTTTGCTTCCAGTTTGTGTTTGCCTTAACAGACCAGTTTGGTCCTTGTATACTTTTTGCTAAGGAAACCCTTATTAGTCATAGTTCTTTCCCCACAAATATTTACATACTACAGTAAGAGCTTTCTGCAGTCTCTAAAGAAAAATAAAATATTTTTTGTCACTCATTTATGCCCTTCAACATCCTCGCTAAACTGCAGGCATCAATATCACATTCCTCTTTTCTTCTTAGTGACCGTGACAAACTGTTCTGTAAGTGCAGGAATGCACAGTCACTTCTCCCTGTACAGCTAGGATGAAAGGAGACAACTTCTGTCTTGTTCTAATAATGATAATAATGACAGCGGTGGCATAATGCAATGAAAGTTTAAGAGAACAAAATTAAGACGTTAAAGACAAAAGGAACACTGTAGGATATTCATTATCAACAGAATATCAAGCAAATGAGAATATCGCAGTTATATCTGAAGAACTTCTAAAATGCAACTTCTTTACGGAAAACTTGTAGCTTTCTCCTGAAATGCTCTAGCCTCTACAAGACACACACATGGAAGCTTCTTACACAGGTAAGAACTTGTTTCATGTAATACGTTTTTGTGTGGGCTTTTTTCCAACATTTTTTTCCAGCTCTAATACTGCAACTTGTCAGTTTCCTTATGCATCTCTGCAGCCATGCATCAGCCTGCTGTGAGATTTCTCTGGCTGCTCCAAGATCCCAAATACGGGTACGCAGAAGTTTGGGTTGATCACACACAGACATGCAAAAGAAAGCTACAAGCTTATGTACCTGGAAACAACCTTTTTTCTTTTCTGTCCTTCAGCACAAAACAACAAGATATTCACAGTCTGTTTTGTGGAATACTGTTTTATTACAGTTCAGCTGCGCTATAGGTGTGCACATGCATATACGCTCATCTACTGCCAAGTTTTCCCTTGAGAAAACAACAGAACTTCAGAACTGAAAAACTTCAGCTGCAGACAAGCAGAAGGCAGAACCACAAACAGAAAACCATGTGGATAATCCCAAGCTATGGATATTAGGAAGCAAGGAATTTCATCCAGTAAAACAGCTTTCCACAGAGAATTAGCCTGCCAGTTGGTTAGCTACCTGCAGTGATGGCAAAGAACAGGCTCTAGGCACAGTTCTTCCCTCTGACACTGATCTGTCCCAAACCATTACTCTGAGGAGACTAGATTCAAATGTGTGCAAGTATTCAGCACTGCAAAAATACTTATTACAACATTCCCACAACAAGCACAACATTGAAGTTAGGAAAATTCTTCTGGATTTAAAGTAGCATCACTGAACTCGTTCCCTGCCCCTAGGCCCTTCAGGCCTGCAGTTATGAGCAACTCCCTTTTCCACCCCCTAATAGCTTTTTACACTTCTGCACTACTCCAGACTCTTTCAAGGCAGTGGCCTTTGTAAACCCTTCAGAAACTGAGAAATGAGAGGTGGATCTTGCAAGGGCTTTCAACTCAGTGAGAACTTTCAAAGAAATATTTTTTTCTATATTTATTTATTTTTACTGGTACAAAACAATGCTTTTTAAGCATTTAGTCACAGATGGTTCCAATTCACAGAAATGCTCGCATGTAAGACCATCACTAGATGACCTACTGCCTCAGAATGCACATGAGCTTTCATCTTTTTCCTGAACAGGCTGCTTTCCCTACATTTTAACTGTTAACATCATCTGTTGCTCTAAGCAATTCCGCTTATCAAAACCTGGGTATTTTTCTATAAATATTAATTTTCCATCTGTCTAGAGTTTTATAACTTTGCACTAATTGGAGGGCATGGTGGAGATTCATTGCAGCAACAGGAACAGTCAATGGAGTCAGAGGCACAACTTCATCTTACAAAGTCCACTTCTTTTTTCTTTTTTTTCTTTTTCTTTTTTTTTTTTTTTACAGCTTGCACAAGGATACAAGACTATGACGTAAATATTCTGAACTTTCATGACCAGGATAAAAATCTCTATACAGTATTACTAGAAAGGCCCGTGCTGAATTGAATTTAATACAGAGCATTTAAGTAGTAGTTTCTTTTAAACATCTATGCATATTAAAAATGGATACTTTAAAAAGAAAAACAAAGGTCAAATCTCAGTGGAATGAGCTGCCTTACTAAAAATTAACGATACTGAGCAATAAGCAAAAGTTAATTTATAGTAGCTACGTTTGCCAACACATTGTTTTCTTAAGCTTGCTAGATTTACCTGTAGGTAGGGAGTAAAAGTAAATTGCCCAAGGATCAGCTGTTTTTCATTTTTAACTTAGTTGAGCTTCACAATATTAGAAACTGTTTTATTCTACCACAACAATTTATGAGCCTAACTTTTATGAAGTTTTTTTCTTGTAATGTTTAAACAAAAATTTAACACCATATCTACAAAGATAATTTTGAAAATGAAAGGAATAAGGAGATTTTTTTTATTTAAAAAGTCAAATAGTTATCTTCTCAAGCACAAGATTAGTTGCTATCTCATCTGCCCAGAAGGGACTGGTGCATTTAAAAAAACAAAACAAAACAAAAAAAAAACAGACTTCAGCTAGATAAAAGCTTTAGACTCCGAGACATGATATTTTAACAGAATTGTAACAGGAAGTTGCAAGTCAATATAAAGTACCAAGTCAGTACTGAGTAGCTTTGGCTACTTATGTCACACAAGTAGTTTAGAAAAATCTGGTCTTCTGGTTACTGGGTTCATCTCTGAGAAGGGTAAGACCATCTTTGGCTACAAGCTTTCCAATTTAATCAGGGGAGTTTTAAACTAGAGTTACCAGGGGATCAAACCATTTCACTTTGAGGGTGATGATCATAATGGATGCCCCAGAGTTGGATCACAGGTCATTAAGACAGCACCTAAGGTGCAGGATAAGGGAACTCCAATTGGTAAATCAGCCTCTACATCAATGACCTGGACTGAAGTCCATAGATCTCCACCTGGGGATGGATGAGGAGCTGACAGGAAGCTTATGGGTTATGGTTAAAGGGAGCAGGGGAAGGAGATATTGTAGTGGGGGTCTGCTACAGCCTGCCTGACCAGGAAGATTGAGTAGATGACCCCTTTTATAAAAAGATGGGAGTAGCTTCACATTCACAAAATGTGGTCCTCATGAGGGACTTAAACCACCCTGATATCTGCTGAAGGGACAACACAGCAGGGAACAAGGAATTGAAAAGGTTTCTGGAATGCATTGATGATAACTTCCTATTCCAAGTGGTACAGGAATCCATAAGAAAAGGTGCTGTGCTGGACCTTGTCCTCACCAACAAAGAGGGCTAAGCGAGCAACGTAAAGTTCAAGGCAGCCTTGGTTGTGCTGATCATGAAATGGTGCAGTTCAAGATCCCTAGGGCATCAAAGACGATATGCAGCAAGCTTGCTACTCTGGACTTTGAGAGAGTAGACTTTGACCTCTTCAGGGAATGATTGCAGGGTGACATGGGAGAAAGCCCTGGAGGGAAGAGAAGCTCAAGAAGGCTGGTCAGCATTCAAGAACCATCTCCTCCAAGCCCAGAAGCAGTGCATCCTGAGAAAAAGGAAGGTAGAAAAGAATGCCAGGTGGCCTCCATGGATCGACAGTTGACTTAATTAAACACAAAAAGAAAGTCTATAGGAAGTGGAAGCAAGAACGGGCTACCTGGCAGGACTACACAGAATTTGTATGAGCAACCAGGGGTCAGGTTAGGAAAGGTTCAGCACAGAATTAAATCTAGCTAGGGACATAAAGAGAAACAAGAAGAAATTCTAAGAAATTCTACAGGTATATTTGCGACAAAAGGGAGGCTAGGGAAGATGTGTGTCCTTTCCAGGAGGAAACTAGAGATTCAGTCACAAGAGATACAGAGAAACCTGAGGTGCTCAATGACTGTTTTGCCTCAGACTTCACTGGCAAGGGCTATAGTCCCACTGCCCCCCCAAAAATGTAAGAAGTGGAAGAAGAAAGATCTGCAGAGATCTGTGGCTCTTCAGCCTAGGGAAGGCTCCAGGGGGACCTTATAGTGGCCTTCCCATATTTGCAAGGGAACTACAGGAAAGCTGGGGAGGGACAGGACAAGGAGAAATGACTTTAAGCTGGAATAGGGTAGATTTAGACTAGGTATCAGGAAGAAGTTCTTTACTGTGAGGGCAGTGAGACCTCAGGTTGCCCAGAGAGGTTGTGGATGCCCCACACCTTGGAAGCATTCAAGGCCAGGCTGGGTGGAGCTTTGAGCAACCCGGTCTATGGGAGGTGTCCCTGCCTGCAGGGGACATGGACTGCAAGGCTACAGCCAATTGCTCCTC